TTTAGTAACTTATCACCTTCTCTTAAAATACAATAAATGATCTCTTCTTCCCATATCCCATACCTTATCTATAAACAAATCCTTAAAGCCTCATCATTCAGTCCAAGTCAGCAAAAGTCCATTAAGGGTTACTAGAGATAACAACATATCTATTTTAACTTTGATCAAATAAACCAACTTTATATTCATTCCTTTTACTTTTAACAATCTTGGTCTTTAATCCCTTCAAATAATGTCCTAGAAGTTGATTTCTTCTCATTTTTTCTTTGTCCCTTCTCACAAAATTCTTCAAAGCTTTAACAAGTCTCTTTTGCAAATCCATTATAGGAAAGTTATCCAGGTCACTCTTTTGGTTTGTTATTTGTATATCCTTTTTAATTAAGACATCAACTGGTTTCATTTGTATATCCAGTGTAGCATTTTTTTCCATATCATTCTTGTAGTCTGTCTTTTTTAAATTCACTTTCAGACCGGTCTCAGTCTTGTCCGGTATAACTCATTCCTCTTCCATAACATCTTTTAAATACAGTCTATCTATAATGGCAGAAACTCTTAAAATTAACTTCTGGGTCCACTGTTCACAAATATCCTTCAATATGTCAAATGTTAAAATATTTTGCTCCATTCTGTATTAGTAAGTCAAATTTAAATGTTCTTCTCCTTTAACTGTATTCTTTAGTTCCTCTTGGTTCCCTCTAGTGTCCAACCTTCAAAGTCCCATCCTATCATGTTTTTTTTTTAAGAATTCAGAACAAAAGCATTTTCCCACAGGAAGGATTTTTATAATTAATTCTAAACTGTTATTTCAAATCCATCTGGATGATTAGTCCATTTTTCTTTAGTTCCTCTTGGTTCCCTCTAGTGTCCAACCTTCAAAGTCCCATCCTATCATGTTTTTTTTTTAAGAATTCAGAACAAAAGCATTTTCCCACAGGAAGGATTTTTATAATTAATTCTAAACTGTTATTTCAAATCCATCTGGATGATTAGTCCATTTGTAACTTTCCAAAGTCAACCTTCTAATCACCCTTTTGCTGTTTATTCCCCTCCCCCCCAAACCAATTAAGTCCTTAAACTTGTATTTAAAACATTTTTTGCTAAGGACTGAAGGAAACTCACCCGGTGTGGTAAAACTCATCGATCCAAACGTTCCTAATAGCTGAAAAGCAGTTAACAAGCAATTTCTGAAAGTGATTAAAAAGGAAATACGCGGACCCTGTGTACATTAAGGTGCCGACCACCGTTTGAGTGATGATGGCTTTTCCTTGTCTCCCAGAGCTCTAAACCTGCTGGAAACTACTGTCTTGTGATCTCCTTGCGATGGAGCAACCATCTGGAGTACTTGTGGGTGGTGTCAAGTCCTCTCCAGACAAGAAGAGTCTACTCATCAGCTCTCCATTCTACTGCAGTTGTCGAAGCCATCTTCAGTTTGTCATTTCTTCCCCAGAAATCAGATAGGCTACTTTCTTACACAGATACAAGCCATCATCTTACCGGTTATTCTTCCCTTTACAAAAGAATGAGCCTGCAAATGGGAAGAAAACTAACAGGGAATGTCAGAAAGACTTAAGAATGTCAAGCGTAGTTTAGTCTTAAAGAAATAGTTCACTTTTCAAGCCCACTACCTACTTTCAGAAATGGTTCCATAGTATTCCTATTTGCTAGTGGTTAGGCAGGACTATCATATAGAGGTTGTAGACAATAATAAAGAGATAACAGCAAATACCTTTTACCGCCAATTATAGGTCATCTTTTTTTTTTTTTTGAAGCCCACATATGTTGGCGAGTTGGTAGCTGCCTTAACAATTGAATGAAAGAATAAACAAACAAATGAATAAATCAATAAACATGGTACGCACGTTATGAAATTATTGTTATATAACTTTTTACTTTCCACAATATTTATTCCTCATACAACCAATTAGCAGTAATTTATTCTATTTTGTTAAAAAGGAAGTAGTCATTGTCCATTCAATGTATATGTTTGCTTTATAACATATGTCCCTTGATATTTAGATTTTTCCCAGCCACATTTAAGACACAGGAAAATTAAATGTTGGAAGAATGCCACACAAAATTCAAATCCATCAGAGTTAAATTTATGTGTTCAGTTTTATCTCTGCAGAAATGTAGAATAGTGCG